TTTTTAACCATGAATTAAACATAAATGGTCCAGTGATATATATATTCAATTTAAAATATCATTGTAATTCTAATAAATTATGTTCTGTGAAAAAGGTGAACAATCTAATTTCAACGGCATTCGTTTACTATTATTGTTCTGTAGTTCGTAAATCAGCCATTACTATTAACTTTCGCATTGAATTGTAGGATGTGTTTCCTTTTTCATTACAAATAGCGCCCGAAAAAAACCCAAAGTACACGACTCGAATACTGATTTTACCATTTTGTCTTAAATATTGGATAATATGATCCCATATTTTCTGAGTAAAATAATATTGAAATTGACCAATATTGAATTCCGAATCGTGTTTTTAATTTTGAATGTTTTGAAAAATATTGAGTTAAGAGATTTAGTTCCTTTAAGTTCGGTTTATTATAGAAATATTTGAACACTTAATAACATACAAGAGTAAGTGTTTAAGACCATGGACATACAATCATTTATTTTTTAATTCAATTCCAAAAATAATTATTGGTTAATTCTAAATTTAGATTGAGACTATCCTTAAAATAATTTAATCAATATCAAATCCACTCTGATACGGACGTACGGACAGGATCGACAATGCAGCTAGTGGTCTAAGTGTGTAATACTATGGGGGTTATTTTAGTTCTAAGAAAGGTGTTCTGTTTAATATAGAAATTCTTTACCTACATGATGTGACGAAAACTAGGGTAATAAACTATCTTGCATTATTCTACTACTATCTTAGACTAACTCACCGACAGTTATGTCAGTATCCATTTCTAGAAAGTAGGGTACTATGGTCCAGTCATCTCGTGCACGGATTGATACATAGCGTTGACGTAAAACGGTGCCTTTACGAAACACTTACCCAAAAATGGTAATTGTTCCGCCCTAATAGATGACGCATTATACTTTCTATATAGGAGAGAGCTTGTTTGATTTACCCTCAGACATCATGACAAGACTGTAGAGAAGATATCATAGAGCAGTCCGAGAGGGGAACATCATAAGCACAGCCGCCTTGGCTCAGTCTGGGATAGAGACAAAATGTAGTATTTAAGCCGTTAGGTCTGAGTTGTAAAGAATGCTAAACTCAGACCGTAGACATTTTAATAACGCCTAAAGTTTCTATAATAGGTGTTGTGGTTTTCCTGTATTTAACATTGTAGTTTGCTGTATTTGTTATATAAAATTAGTAACTACATAAACAGTGTTTCAGACTTAATTGATTGTTGGAAATAGTTATCACAACGTAAAGTCAAAGAAAGTCCTAGAAGATAGTGTCACCCTAGTATCACGGGCCGTTCTCTGGAAGTTCCTGATAAAATTCACATCTGTCCTAGACGGTAGTGTCACAACCTATTTCTGTTTGGAGTCCTTTACCAGGATAGTCACATCTACCCGGTAGTGCCCCAAGTGCAGTGAATGTAGTAGGCTTTATCGGAGTCCGAGCCCACACAAAACGTTTCCCTAATCTATCGGCTATCGGGAGGGGCGCTCCCGATCGGGCATAATCCCGACACACCTCCCGGGAAAACATACCTTGAACAGGATTGCATGCGTAATTGTGGAATGTGATGACCGGGGTAATTCGTACCTGGACAGGTGTGATGATCTAACTAATGATCAAATAATATTCAAGCAGTGATTGACAGCTTTCATAGATCATTTATTATATATATTTCAAAGAAACTTTAACAGGTTGTTTCTCCTAAATAATATTTTTTCAGTAACTATTGTAAAGTTCACCGAGTTTAGTAGGTGTAGACGAATCTCGTTGCAAAAGGTCAGTACTATAATTTGGCATGTAAATTGTCGGTGCAAGTATTCTGCTACAAAACCAGGCGTAGCGATGAACAAAGGGTGCCTTTTCTAACAAAGGAATAGCAACCTTCATAAAGTTCATATCTTCCTCGACTGTTACGTTTCCCAGACAACTAAATTCTGTAAGCCATATTGGCCGGTTTTATCGTGTCGAAATTCTTTCCAATGATTGCATCATTTCATAAGGATGACACGCATATGCATGAACGGCAAGCGCATCAATTCGGCAAGATTTGCATTGCGCAAAGAATTCATCAAACCACGCTATACACATATTCGCCCTAAAATCACAATTGGCTAGTGCTGGACTTATTAACGTTTTGCCTTCAGCTTTCTGTTCAACCAATGGCCACAATTCAGCAGCTCGTTTTGCTGTGATGTTTGACTGTCCGGGGATATTTGGTTCGTTGAAACCAAGGACATATTCCGCTTCTGGTGGTATTACGGCTGAATAAGTAGACAATTCACCAAATATCATGGGAATATAACCTGTTTTCGGAGGACTGCTACAATTATTCCATTGAAGTTCACCCTGATCGTATCGCCAGTCATACCTATAGAAATATATTTTTATATCAGACAATGGTTCACTTTCAACATGCATTATCACAAATAATACATGGCCAAGAAAGACGTACCTTAATGCACGGGGTTATAATAATTTGTAAGTGATATGTAATCGAATTAAGCAGGCATTATGCACGAGCTAAATCTGCCTATTGTAAGTCTTTCTTTAGGTCTGAAATGTTATAAATTTTTAATTAGATATTAATTAACTTACCAAGACCATAATCAACTCTAGATGCCATCGGATGGCTGCGATACAAGTAGATTTAAATACGTTTTGTGGTCGATGTAGTTACCGTAAAAATGGATAATCGAGACTTGGTGGATTATCTTACCAACGGTAGTAATGACAATCTAGGTTAGAATATATTTGTAGGCTCCAGAGTGAAGTGATTTGACGGATTATTTTCAGTGTATTGTCTATTCATTATGCTTTTTTAGATATTATAGCTAGAACTACCCGCTCATCTTCTAATCTTACCTAATGCCGCAACGTGGAATTGATTTTGATAACGGCACTATTCTTAAATAACCTGTTTTTTTATAGCAGTAATTAGATTTTAAAACATCGAGAATTTAAAGAACATTCGCTTTGGAATAGGGTATGAGAATTGAATAAATATATTCTGTATTCAAAGTACTAGATTTAACTCCCCCGAATTTAATTGCTGAATAAATGCACTCACCACCAAGAAACATCATCGAATGAATACGTATCTCCACATATAAAATTTCTTGAGCATATTCCAAAACCTTTTTTGTTGCTTTTAGAAAACGCACATTGTACTGTAATTGCAACATAAATGGCCACTAACGCCTTCATTGTTTGAGAATATTTTCCTTACTTTCTTCAAATGTCGGATAATTTTAACGAAAAAACGACTATCGAAATTTAATAAAGATAAGAAATTTCTTTACAGAACTGCAAATCGAAATGTAATATAGATAAGAGATTTCTTTACAGATCTGGGACGAACTGCATTTTGTAAAGGTTGTATATTAGGTCGGTCGTATCAGATCATTAAGGTTCATGGTTATCGTAGTGCTTCTCGATCAAGGTGACCCCACCCCCTCCTCCATAATCATAGACCTATTTCGTCCAGGTTTCGTTTTATTATCGAAATAATTGAACACCAAGCCCCAATAAACCAGAGTAAAAATTAAATTTGGAGCTTTAGACCATAGACACACATTCACTTTTATTTTTAGAAATAAACAATTATGTCCAATTCAAAAAAAAAAAATTTAAAAAATGGACGTGGTTGATCATTATCACTAGTCATCCATTACCAAACTCACGATAGAAATCACAAGAACTCTAATTCAGAGAATATTTGATTGACATTTGTTAATTTAGTTCTAATTTCACTTTGTGTATTTTGAAATGATTATTTCCTAGTTAATAAAATCCTTATGCTTGTGGTTCGGTCGCAGAAAGTAATCTCTTTTCAAATGACATGGTACACATTTCATAATTATACGTAAAAGGGACCATAACCTAAGAATTTGAAATCCGACCCACACCAAAATCGACTGACTATCGGGATTTGCTTTATAAATGATTCTAAAAGACGTTCACATTAGTTACCCCAGATGTATGGGTGGATGGGCTATCTGTGCAGTATACAAGACTTTGTTTGCCTTACACACTGCTCTGATTTTGTGGACCAATCCGAATCATATCAAGATTGGAAACTTGTATTTAAAACTTTCTTTGATTGTTTATGGAGAGAACAGGGATATGCAACACTATTGTGTGGTTGGCATTAACTTTAATGTAGGCTAAACTGGGCAAGTAGGTACATCAGGGCCGTAACTAGCTCAGAGCAACGAGGGGGTGGGGAGCTGTGAAATTGACGGACAATGTGTATCTGGGTGGGTGGGTTCTATACAGATGTTTTTATTCAAATTGATTATATGATTCTTTTTAAGTTGGTTATGTACGTCAAAGCCGATAAAATGGGGATTCCTATCGAATTTGGCATCAACCCGAGTTATTTTTTAAGGACATACGACCCGATCTCAATGTCCTAGATACATTTCTTCCTGGGTTCTTTTCAACTTTATTTTGTAAGTCCCCATCGAGTTTGACATTTTTCGGATACTTTTTCGTCCCACTTAATCAGGACGTATATTTAAGATTTTTTAACGAAACCTTCAATCTCGTTCAAATAGACGTTTTTTTGGCTTTGCCATTATGGTAATTGACCTTGCATTCAAAGGGCAACATCAAACCTCTATACGCCTCTGCAGATCGGAGGGGGCAAATGGTTAGCGTGTGTGCGCTGTATCATAAATACTGTCATTGAATCAACTGGCATGGTATCGATTCCCCGGTTTAACGTGGCAAGGAGTAGGGTCGCCTGTCCAACCTCGTGGGTTTTCTCCGGTTTTCTCCTACTGCTAAAGACCCCTGCGCGCAAGCGAATTATTGAAATAAAACTGAACCATATGTTAGTCCTGAAATGACCAAGTTTGTGTCGAGTGAACGTTAAACTCCATTCCTCTCGCCTCTGTGGATAGTCAGTATACGACTGCGTGTTGTTACCGTTACATATTCTTATATGTTACTGGCAAGTAAGGTAATAAGACAAGCAGTATTATAATAGGGATTATATTTTATTCAAAGATAAATACTTCATCGCAAAGTGTTGTAAAGTTGGCCGAGCCTTGTTAGTTTTGAAGAGTCCTGTTCCAAAAGATTGGTGCTGCGGTTTGGCAAGTACCCGGTAAGGTTGGCTAGACGTAAATCGAACCATGCATATCTCTCCACATACGGTGATTTCTCAAGCATGGGTATTAGAGTTCTCATGAAGTTCATATCATCATCGACAGAGACGTAACCTTTGCAACTAAACTCTGTAAGCCAAATTTTTCTTTTGAAATGCTTTGAAATCTTTGTAATGGAGTCAATCATTTTGTATGGAAGGCAGTGGTAACCATGGATAGCAATTCTATCAACTCGGCAGTTTGGACAAGTTTTAAAAAACCTTTCATACCATTGGATGCACATGTCGGGATCCGTGTCACAGTCATTTAGAGCTGGGCCAATCAAAATTCGATTCCCAGCTTTTTGTTCGACAAGTGGCCAAACCTGAGCACATCTCTCTGGGGTCATTCCTGCTTGCTCTGGCTCATTGGGCTCATTAAAGCCTAATACATATTTTGCATCTTGTGGGATCACAGCCGTGTGGGCAAGCGCTTCATTAAATATCATTGGAACGTATCCAGGTTTTCCAGCGTTCGGACAATAGTGCCAGTGTCGCTCTCCTTGATCAAATCTCCAATCATACCTTTAAAAATCAAACAAACATTGATTAATAATTAGGTCCCTTGTCGTACTTCGTCATTTTTTGAGCTGTAAAAGTGAAATGGGGGTTACTGTTCTGCCTGTCTGAATAGACGGACATACGCCATAGTGTACTACAAGAGAAATTTTGCTCGGACAGATGCAGTACGGCCTATTCTTTATTTCGAATTCCAACTGTCAAGGTTTCGTTTACGTGCACGCAAATGTATGCGAGAAGATCTCGGCCAACACCGAGAGCGAACCCTAGACCTGGTTAGCCAGCCACCACCGTACTCGCTCAGCCACCGCTGCTCCTTTTTATAAATGAACGCTTCGTTTTGTAAAGACTTTTTGTGTTGTTACACCAGTTTCATTTAATTACCAATTCAAAGAATTCTGTAAATTTTGTGGACTTACCACCACGAGGCATCTGTTAATGCCCAAGTATCACCACATCGAAATCCAGACGCGTCAATGCCGAATCCTTTCTTTTGACTGGCGGCATATACATATTGACAAAGAGCGATTAGCCCCAACGCTATGTAAACGACCTTCGTATTCATACTGTCATAGGTTTCAGCAATAGTGGACCCCGTGAATTTATAAGGTGTAGATTTCGGTTGTTTTTTTTTTTGTATTTTGGCACCATTTTCTTTATCGGAGAGCAAATTGTTTATAACTCGATGACAATGCAACTTCTTATCGTATATTCTTTGAATGCAAACATTGGAATATGCATGTCATTATCATCTACAGTTACACTTGTTGTTTGGCCAGCCCAAATTTAGTATGTTGGAAATAAACAAGATTACTTGAATTTACCTTGGCACCATTCCCTTGTACCTACGAGCAGAATGAATAATATACGATGACATCGTAAAACGATGATACTTCATATCTCATATTCTGTGCATACAAACACATGGTAATGTTCACATTGAACTAGTTCTTAAATGGGGTAGTTATAACTGCTACTGGAGTTTGTGTGAAGGGGTGCTTTGTCGCAAGTCTGTACTCATGTAGGAAAAAAAACGATAAAAAGTTACCATATTATATAAATAACCTAATTCTGAATTTACCCTCTTCGACCAAGCACAACGATATAAATCTCATACACTTTATTGTGATAAATAAAAGTAAATTATAAAACATGACGAAAATAGCTGGTGATAATATAATACACGTGGTAAATACTCTTTCAAACGCGACTTGAACTGGGCTCATTGATTTTCTCACAAGCAGTTGATGCCTTGTTCTGGCACAGATAGTTGTTTAGACATATTTTAGAAACTTTAAAATCGCGGCTAATCAACTTCATTTGACGAAGCCCCACCGTTGAAACATACCTACCAAATTTTGTTAGATCTATCATGCAGTTCGGTAGAAAGGGCGTGAAAATATTTAAATTTGACCCTTTTCAAGCTCCTAGTTAGAGGACCAACAATCCATAGGCTTACGTGGTCGATGAATGCACTAAAAAAATCGGGTTACAGACGGCGGTGCGGGTCGTCTGCGAAAGGCGAAGGAGTGGAGTGGAAAATTTGACGGCCGAAAACGCGTTTTCCTAGTGTGAATCGTGATTGTGGAAATCTAGCATTAAGACGGTTGTATTAACATATTCTATTTCTATCGTAACACCTCACCGGTTTGCACGAACATAATGAATAGTCAGACCTTTTATTCCCCTTAGCCCAGTCACGTGTAAAAAGGCGGTGTGTGAAATTGTATACGTATGTATCAACGATAAATAGTATAGGGTTGGTCTAATTCATTGTTTATACATTTGGATCATGACGTGGCTTTTTTTTTAATAACCAGAAAGCTTTTAGGAAGGGTATTTCACTGGTGTCCTCTTACCAAGTTAAATCTAGAGGTATCAGATAAATTTATACATATAATGGACCCGTGATGCATAGGCGTACGGGCTCTATGGGTGTTAAGGGAACGGGGGTAGAACATGAAATGCCCGAAAATATTTCGGGTTACAAACGGCGGTGCCGGTCGTCTGCGAGAGGCGGGCCGTATTATGTTGCCCACCTCGCCCGTGAATACAGCAACTTAAAAGTGGTCTAATATAGCCCAACTTAGGTGTCTGACTCGAATTCCAATCAACCGTTTACAGTACACAGACATGGAGCCGTTGCGGGGGGGGGGGGGCGAAAATTGGAGATCAGAAAATCCATCTTTTCCCGGTAAGATCACAACTTCAATATTGATTTACATTGACAAATAATTCGTGTTTTCAATGTCGAAGACTTTGGATGATATTGAGTTATAGAGACTTAGCTACTTTAAATAACACTATTGGCGTCATCAAAATTTGAGTCAGACTTCCAGTGAATCTTAAAGCTTCTGGTCTGTTTTATTTCGCTGCTTAAGAAGTCTTTAATGTTGACAGGATCTTGGTTTATGTCCTACCTTGAAAACCGCAGTCAACAGGTTAAAATAAATGATGTTAAATCTGACCCAGTTATCCATAAATGCGGAGTACCCCAGGGATCGGTTCTAGGTCCAGTATTATTCTTGTTCTACTCGTCATCTGTGGCTAACATTATATCCCAACACGACATCGATCACCTTTCATACGCGGATGATACACAACTTGTGCCACCCTTCAAGACAAATCAGATCACCCCCTGCTCTTAACACCATAACCTTAATGTATTCTTGGGATATAAAATCCTGGATGAACGCAATCAAACTAAAATTAAATGATAAGACAGAAGCAATCATTTTTGAAGAAAGAAACTATTACAGGAAATATCTGAAACAAGTGTAACCATTGAATATTCCATCATTCAAGTTTTTAGTACCGTTAAGGATCTTGGTGGTTATTGATTCATGTCTTATCTTAGGGTTGATTATTAGTGTAGATCGTGTTACTTCCAGTTGCGACGTATTAGCGGTATTAGAAACATCATCACCACAGATGTTACACAAACATTATTTCAATCACTTGTCCTATCAAAAACTGACTATTGTAACGGTTTACTAGCTGGTAGTACACAAGACATACTGTACAAACCCCCAAAAGTACAGAATACAGTTGCCATTATCATATCCAGAACAAACAAGTCATCACACATCACCCCTGTCTTGAAATCCCTGCATAGACTTCAAAATCCTATGTTTGACGTACCAGTGTCAACAGGGTACATCACCCTCGTATCTTTCAGAAGTACTATCTGTATACCAGCCAACTCGTACTTTGAGATCCGGTATCAAAACATTTTATGTATTCCATCATCAAAATTAAAACAGTTCGGAGATAGAAGCTTTAGTACTGCTGCACCAAAACTGTGGAACCATTTACCTCAGAATATTCGCGACAGCAAAACTCATACAAGTTTCAAATCCAAATTAAAAACTCACTTGTTCAAACAATCTTATGTTTGCTAAATTTTTGAACAGACATGTATATAGTTTATAGACGGACTTGGCGCTCAAGAAATTGACATATATTATTATTATTATTCATTAATGAGATACAGCACCTGTTTTATAGCTGACTATACACACATGTGACTATGATTAACATCCGCACTGTAACTATCAAATTCAACGGCCTGTACAGAATATTGCACACACATAGAAATGAAATGAAATGGGCTTAATGTGCTACTGTTCTGCTCCGGCTGGGCTAATGAAGATGGGCACACAAATAGAAATTGATAAGCAAATTCTTGGCCAATGAAGATGGGAATTGGATCAGCAAAGTACTGTAATAGGTGTACAAAGTTTCGGAAGAGATACATAAATTGTACAGGAATCTATGTCAATATTCCGCCCTAAGCTTCAGTATGTGCCATTGAAAGCCTGACAAAGACCCATGTAATGAAACTTAAGAAAGTGCCTCAATATTGTGCCGATAGTTGCCTTCATGCTGTACTTTTAAACAGATAGATGTTTTCCTTTTTTGATTTAATAGTCGCATCAGTTATTTCTTTTTCTCCTCTTCATGTTGATATGCTGCTAATATGTGTTTCGATATTTTGGACTTGCACTGGTTCTTACAATTTCTTTTTCCGTTGTTCTTTTCATAACCAGCAACGGTTACTGAAATACATAAAATATAATATAATATACACCTACAATTTTTCGTACAATCGGATAACAATTCTGACTTCTAGAGGGTGACCTAGTTTGTGTCGAGTGGACGTTAAAACCCCATCTCTCTCTCTTTATCCTTACTCAGAGAACCACCTCCACCCCCTAAAAGAATTAATTCATGTTTTGCTTAAAATGGGGTCTTAATTGGAGGTTAACAAATCCAAATTTAGTACCAAAATAAATCTATACTCAAAGTATTAAATAATTTTGCAGAGAACTAACATTTGACATGGCCATGATCAGTCTAAATAAATAGGTCATAAACTGACCAAAATTCCAGTACCGTAGTTCAGTACTGAAATTTCACAAGAGCATTCATGTAAACAACAATGAAAATTCAATTTACCGGTACGCTATTAAAATACATATTCAATTAATCAGGTAGTCGTAAGAATTATTGATGGACTAGACTAGTCATGGTGGACAGAAAGTTCCGGTAGAGCTTCGTTATTTGACTGAGTTAAAGTAACCAAGTCAGTATCATCCATAGTCTTCGACATTACAAACACGACTTATAAAAATCTTAATGTATTGGAAGTTCAAATTGTATTAACAAGAACAACATGGTCTACGTGGCTATAGATCTACGTTTGAACCTGCTCATTAATTTTTGTTTGTAAATAAAATACGGTATTGTATTTCTGCTTAATCTTTTATTAATAATATTGATTACAAAGGGTCAAGTGAATACTCTGGGCGTACATCCAACTTTTTATGCAAATTAATTAATGTAGTTGAACAATGTAGTCGTCGTCTCCTATTCTTACGACGATCTCGTCGTAAAGATAAGGCATTGCCTGTTCTTACGAAACCCCCTCTTGCATCCCATTTTTTAACTTGCGCATGCGCTAGCGGAACTTCCACTATGTTGGCCCTGCATTATGTAATAATTTCAGTTTAATGTATTTTTTTGCATCACAAAAGTAGCCTACCACAGCACAAATATCAAGGTATTTCGGGTCTGAGTGTCTAGTAGAGTAATAAAATAAAATAGTTTTGGTAGATACTTCTTTTAAAGTGGTGCAGGTATCTAGGCTTACTTACTGACGGCTGGAATTTATTACTATTAACAGCAACAGACGCGACATCCACAAATCTGTTGACGGCAGAAAAGGTAGCAGTCCATCAATTCTGAAAATTCATAAAACGTAATAAAGAGGAAACCATCGAATTCGACTGTGTCAAGAACGTCTAAAAAACGCAGGCTTGGGAATGTTCCAATTTATCAAAATCCAAATAAGCCCGACAGTCAAATCCATGACACAAAATGACTACCGGTAATCCGCACGAGATGTTCCTCATTCCCAGAATAACTCGACTGTTTCCGTTTCTTCGATCAACTTTGCGTAGTTTTTCACCAGGGGCATACATTAATTAACCTATAGATAAATCTTAAACTTACCTTCAACAAAAGGTGAAGTGTTGACGATTCTACGACGTATC